ATAGCATTTGTCACAGTTACCATAAAATAGGCCCGATTTTTAAATTTTGAATTATACCATGCGTGTTTGTTTTTCCAGTACCTTTTTTTACCCCCTTTTTCGTTGAAGGTTACCGAAAACTCTAGAGATGGGTAAAATAAACAACTAACTACGGCATTTTCCGTCCCATTTATTCAAAAAAGTTTCGCGGAAATAGCTGGAAATGGCATTTCTGAGACCCTAAATTTCAAAATGTTTGGGGGAACATGCCCCCAGACCCGGCCCCCGTAGTTTAGGGCTCCTTCAAAATCTCACGCCACGCCCCTGCTAACGAAACAACATGAAAGATAAGCCTAAAGTGCACGAGATGCTAACGTAAAAATCCCATGAAAGAGAATCCTAAAAATGCTGGAGATGATAAATACCATGAGATCCTAAATGTGTGCGATATACTAAAGTAACAATCGGATGAAACAGAATCCTTAACGTCCATGCAAAGAAAATGCTAACATAAAAATCAAATGAAAGAGAATCCTAAAAAGTGCACGAGTTACTGAAGTAACAACTGAATGAGAGAAAATCCCAAAAAAGCCTAAGACACTACACACTGGAGATACATACGTAAAAATGTAGGGAGAGAGAATCCTAAATGTGTGCGAGATACTAAAGAAACAGTCGGATGAGACAGAATCCTGAATATGCGCGAGATACGAACGTCACAATCGATTGAAAGAGAATCTTGAAAGCGCACGAGATACTAACGTAACAATCCAATTGAAGAGAAGAGTGCACGAGATATTAACGTATCAATCGATATCAAAACAGAATCCTAAAAGCGAACGAGATACTAGCATAACAGTCTAATGAAAGAGAATGCTAAGATCGAGTGCTCGAGATACTAATTATAACGTAACAATCGATTGAAAGAGAATCGTAAGAGTGCTTGAGATACTAACGTAAGAATCGAATGAAAGAGATTCTTTAAAGTACACGAGATACTAAACGTAACAATCGATTGAAAGATAATCCTAAGAGTACACGTGAGAACGTATCAATCAATTGAAAATCATAAAAGTGCACGAGATACTAACGTAACAATCCAATTAAAGAGAATTGTAAAAGTGCACGATATTCTAACGTAACAACCGATTGAAAGAGAATCCTAAGAGTACACGTGATACGAACGTACCAATCAATTGAAAGAAAATCGTAAAAGTGCACGAGATACTAACGTAACAATCTAATTAAAGAGAATTCTAAAAGTGCACGATAGACTAACGTAACAATCCAATTAAAGAAAATTCTAAAAGTGCACGAGATACTAACGTATCAATCGATAGAAAGAGATCAGTCTTAGAAGACAGTGCACGAGATAACGAAACAATTCAATAAAAGAGAATTCTAATAGTGCACGAGCTTCTAACGCAACAATCCTATAAAAGAGAATCCAATGAGCACTCGAAATACTAACGTAGCAATCGACTGAAAGAGAATTCTAAAAGTGCACGAGATACTAACGTAGCAATCGAATGAAAGAGAATCTTTAAAGTGCGCGAGATACTAAGGTAACAATCACATGAAAGAGAATCCCAAAGGTGTACGAGATACCTACGTAACAGTTTAAGAAGAAAGAATTCTTCAAGTGTGCGAAATACTAACGTAACAATTAATTTGAAAGAGAATATTAAAAGAACGCAAGATACGAACGTAACATTTTTTATTCAAAGTAACATTAGACCGAAAATACACTGCCCTTCACGATTGCCTCTTTAAAGTCTGCACCATGAAGCTTAAGATACCAATTAAAAAGATATCGGAATTTCAGTAGCAAATAAGGTCACTTTACCAAGGTAAGCGTAAAAATCGAATAATCGGAAGAAAACAAGCGCGCTGAAATGACCTACTTGATATTAAGACAAAAATGGTGACGTCAACAGTCATGTGTCATCTTGTCATATGCTTCACATCTTCTCACTTGGCTGCGAAATCTCCATCAATTTTTGATTGCTAGGTCAAGTTAGATCTCAGCCTCGTTTCCATGATAAAGTAAAGAGCGCGCGACAAGTAGGCTTCCTTTACCAAGATGAAGTGTCAGGCCCTTTTTGTGGCGTTGGCTAAACGAAACAATTTTTTTTTCGCCGGTGTCTGTTCCCTGACTATACCTGTCGAATATTGATTGCGTCTCCGCTTAAACTAACTAGGTTGCAGTAGTTCATAGGGAGAGCTCTGAAATGTAAATTTTATTGGTTGGTTGCAAGTTAGGTGTTTAGCTCTACTCTTACCCGCTTGCGGAGTAAAATACCCGTGATTTTACCGCCCCCCCTCCCCTCCCGGTTAGCTCAATTGGTTAGAGCGCCGGATATTGCGTTGTGCGGGAGGTGGAGGTTTCGAGCCCCGGCCGGACCAATACTCATGGTCTTAAAATAACTGAGAATTTGCTACCTTTCTATAATATCAAGAAATGGATAGATATTCTAGTCTTTTCGGACAAGGACGAATAAACCGTGGGCCCCGTCTCCTGCAGGGTTAGGGGTAGGAGACGTTAAGTTCCCACGCACGAGATTACTGTGTGATGGATGTCCTCCCCTGGGGTGGGATGGGTGGGTGTTATTGTTTCACAGGGCCCCATTTAAACTAGCTAGTAGCTAAACTGGGCTACCCTGTATAAATATACGTAGATACAATACAAATACATTTGACTGTTAGTTGAACTCGCAGTTCGGTTCTTGCTTGGTCGGTTCTCTAAACTATGGCCGAATTGCATTTTCGTAACAATTACGCATTCAGTTATCTTTTTAAAAAGATAAATTTCATAAAAGGAAGTAAATTCTGATTAGCTAGGGTCGCGCTCTGATTGAATAAATTTTGTCACCAGTACTTTACAAATGCGGCTGGTTGGTCGAAGCGGACAAATCTTCAAATGCACCGCCGACAAAATTTTGTCCCGGGTAAATACTCGAAAAAAAGCGACTGAATAAACAACGCTGTGTTAAACTTGATAATCATTTTTCTAGCTCGCAAACTCTATACATCAAGTAATTATGACAAGGGAGCCTAACATTTTAGTCTTCATTTTTATTATGAAATATGATGCGTATTTACGATGATTGCGAGTTGCTTATTTTAACCCAATGCCTTGATAGTCCCGTTTATTGTACTCCACATGGTCTTCCTACAATTCATAACAAATACAAATTGGAAATCCTGATTTCTGCTTAATCACAAACTGGATTGTTCTAACTCTGTACAGGGACATAGCCGATATGTTTCAAAGGGGGGGGGGGTCACACTGTGTCAAACAGAGGGTACGCACCAGATTGTCATGTTGACTTCCATGCTGTGTTTTACTATTGTGACAAAAAAAGGCTTACAAAAAGGAGGGGGGGGGTCACCAGCACCCTGGACCCCTTAGCTATGCCCTTGCTGTGCGTGTCTCAAAGTTTGCAGTTCCTTTTTAACGCCAGTTGTATCGCTACCATTGTAGAATTCTGTCATAAGCATCCTAGGCACTGCCATCTTCAATTAGAATTAGGGTCTTGGTTCTTGCACCTTTTCTTTCTTGTTACCCCTTATGAATTTGATACTAATTTTATTAGTAATTGGACCACATGTTATACAATTTGATTATGATCATGATCGTGATGAATGGATTCATTTAAAACTCTAACATTACTGTGAAACTCAGAATACCATAATACCTAAAATGTGTCTCGAATGTTTATTGTGTTACGACCAATCACAGGAGGGTATGTAAGTGATTAAAAAAAAACTTCAGATGAAATTCTAAGTGATATTGTGTACAATTGAGGATTCCTGTGTCTGATTGGCTTGTTTTCCTTAACACAATCACATCCCAAAGGTGTGTTTCTGTACTCACAGTCTTCTGAGTTTCACAGTATATTCACAATTTTCTTTTTAAAAAAAAATTTGGAAGAGTTTGATTTGAGTCTGTTTCATGGCATACCAAAGTAGTCTGTCTAACCTTTGCATCTGTCAGTTTGTGATGCCCTGGTAAACAGACATCAAAGTCTCAATATTATAAGACACTGAAACTCTGGATTTACAATTTATTTCTCGGAGCAATCAATACAAGCTTTTCGCTTTTATGTCTTGCATAATGGCAAACACTTCAGAGTCTGCAAATAAGAACACTCCAACAACGACATACCAGAGACCCAAAAGAATCAATAATTTTCTTTTCAATGTAAGAACTGGATATTGTACCATCTCTTGAACGAGACAGATCCCTGAAAATAAAACATGATATAGTGTTTGAGAAAAGGCCCATTTTCACACACACACAGAAACTTTGTTACAAGTGCCTTAGTGTACAATACGTTATTTGTTGTAAAAGATACAAACTTTTAACCACAGTTTTAATTGATGATAGTTTCAGTATACAATTTATAGGTATCAGTGCTCTAAGTTAAGCTTTTTTGAAAGTTGTCACTTGGCAACCTAAAAAAATATCATGGTTGCCAGAAATCAAAATCTGGTCTCCAGAAAAAAACAAAAAAATATATTCCCCCAACAGTGTTCAATGAGAACTAAACCATATGACAACTCTTGGACTACTCAACAAGTCTGGCTTTTGTTTGTAGATATTTGTGCAATTTCTCACAACCAATCACTCACTCCAGGCAACTTACGAAGCAAAGTTTCAGAGAATAAAACAGTAAAACTTAAGAAATATTTAATTAAAACTTTTCTCTTGCTTTAACTTCAGTCCTTAAGGAGGAAGTTACATAACTGTTGAGCACAGATTGCTAAATTGGCCATGCACCATTAATTTAGTCGTCAAAACTTTTTCAGGTCACAATAGTGACCAAAGCCATTGCAACTAGAAGCCTTAGGCATTACGGGTTTTGCTCACCTGGATAAAAGAAAATGAATAGTGCAGCCAGTCCCCCAATAAGTGCAATTGCATATTGTATGTCTTTCACGTAGGCAGCAATAATAAGGGATGACCCAAACCACAATAATGTTTGTATGATTCTTCTCCGTTTTTCATATCTTTCAGCAAGAGTTGGAGGCATTCTGAAGGCTGCCAAATACAAACCTTCCAAACAGCTCCTGTAAGTAACAAATTTGACTAGCATCAATTTTTTTAATGTGGAATTCTCCAAATCTCTTCAATCTCCAGTGATCATTTAAAATTTCAACTAAAAGGAGGGGTATTCTTTGGAAAGTTTTCCAAGTTCTGATTGTCAATTCTCCCCTCTAGCTGCAAAATATTTCCTTGTTATTTAGTTATGAGAATTTGGTGTTGGATCAAGATAACAACTTCGACCTTATAAAATTGAGTATTCTTATTCACCATTCTCCTCTACTGATTGCTCTGTAGTTGAAGTTTAAAAAATTATTTAAAAAAAGTAGCCATGGAAACAGGTTTTCTTTACATCCCTACTAACTGAGAAAGTTAGAAAGGATCTCCTTGAGTAAGTGTGTGGACACTTATTGAAAATTGCAACTAAAAGGATGGGCACTCATTGGAAGGAGGTCCCTTGATCCAGGGGGAGGTTAAGAAAGTTAGAAATAAAGAGGTGATATAAAAAGGTTTTCCTTGCATATCTGCTATTTGAGAAAGTTGGGGAGGGTAGGAGAGGGGAGGGGAGGGGAGGGATGGGAGAGTACTTATTCCAGAGGGACCCTTGTTTGACATTATGGTCTAGGGGGTGGGCGTTTGTTTGAAGAAGGATGAGTACCAGTATTAGAGCATGGGCTCTTAATCAAGGTAATAAGGTATCTCTATTAGCATGACGCAATAAACTTTTGCAGGTTTTAACTTTTGTGGAGTGTCTTCACATTCCCAAAATAAAATAATTGAAAAATTTCTTAACATTTGTCATGTTTACATAATTAAAAATTTCAATAAATTTGGCAATTAAGTATCTCACCTTCCACAAAAAATGACAACTGCCCCTGTTGATAAAACTATGAGACATATTGTGACCCTTGCAATACTGACCAAAATGTCATTAGGAGGGTAACTCAAAAGAACATCACTTTTAACATTTGTACCAAATGTTAAGTAGCCAAATGATGCAGTGATGGTATAAGCTGTGGTGCAAATTGCCATTGCTATGACGACAACAATGCCGAATCTGGGTACACTGGCTCTTTTCAGTTCTGCATAAACAGCCACGGAAGGGACGTGACACTAAAAACAAAGCAAAGACAAATGATAGGAGAGGGTAATTTTCAAAAGAACTGCACATAATGATGAGTTAGTGGGGGTAAAACAGAATAGTTTGCCTTTATCAACCAAGTTGATCATGAAAATTGGCCACCATAGAGAGTTTCTAAAGAAGATGTTTTAAGCTTTTGCCCTTCGTCAGAGCAAATACACAAAAAAACTCCAAGTTAGGAAAAAAATCTCAAATGGGAATTTGGTAAGTTTACAAAAATGGAGACGTGAACCAATGAACAGACAATTGCAAGGAAAGCCTAAGACACTTTTTGTATGATGAGCATTCAGACAAATTGCCTGATACCAAACAAACATTTGTTTCTCTTTCTTTCTATATTTATTTTTGGTCATGATAATGGGACAAAGGTTAGCTAGTTTGTTCCAAAGAGATGTCCTCATGTCTTTCGTGCATGTTAACATTGTATAATTATCATAACTTCAGTATACATGTTCTTCTCGTTGTTCCCTTCACATTTCTAAAATAACATTTAGTGACTTTCCAAAGGCATTGTGTGACTTTCAAGAAAAGCAAACTTTTTCAGTGAAGTGAATAAAGGCTCCACTGATAGTTTCTAAAGAAACTGTTAGGGGATGCATCGGTGGTAGTCTCCCTCACAGCTGTTTTTTTGGATGTCACGCAACGCTCCCCCAAAAGAACAGCTGCTGACAACCGAACTACATTCCTTTCTTATTGTCCTTGCGGTTTGGTCGTGGTCTATTGAACAGACCAATCACATACCAGAAAATCTGAATGACGTAAGGTTTCACGCGAAAATGTGGATGTTGGGAGAAACACTGAAGAAATTTCTCGATGAGAACTCAAAATGTTTCACATGTTCATCGTTGTGCCCTGGTAAAGATAGAATATATATTTTTGGGAAAACTTCTCACAATTTCGTTGAAATTATAGAATCTATGCTTAACATAGACGTCAACTGCTACGCCAACGACATGAACACTAGATTGTTTGAGCGGTTGTTGAAGTTTCAGCGAGCAACTGAGAAAGTAGAAGACGCTAAAAACTGAACTGAAACTCTTTATTCGCACTATTTCAAGAGGTTACTACAGATTATAAAAGTCAGAATATATAAGAAACAGTAAATTACATCAATAATCAAAAGGAAATACAAGACGCCTTTCAATCTAGGCCAAGGGCTAAATGCTTGCTTCGACCTACAGATGGAGATCAGGAGGAAAAAAGCGTGTGCTTGCCGTCAACAAACCGGGCGAAGCTTCGAGAACACTGCAATTTAGGTCGGCCAACTTCTCCTACACTACTTGTACTTCTTCATTTGCAAGTCCGCTGCTAGCTGGAGCAAACCCGATTAGTTATGTTTGTGGCTTGTTATCACCAGTACAGGAATTTGGCCTAAATTATCGAGTGTTTCCGCACGTTGGTACAACGCAACAACAATAACAATAACATGACCACTTTCATCGGTAACATGGTCAAACATGAGCGGGAGTGCTTGATATATTAACGATTTCCTGGATCCTGTAGGCAACTTAACAAAAACATCTTCTTTCTCGACTAAAACTTTTTTAATTGCAAGCTTCTGGTGAGCTTTAAGCTCGAAAATTTTGAACTTTGACGACGCTTTGCGAAAAGCTCCTTCAAGCACCGCCATTTGTCTTGTGTTCTCCACATGAGGATCGCAATAGAAACCGATATCTGATTGGACGAGTCTCAAAAGGCAAGTCTGGCGCGAAAAGGTTCCTGAAAATGGAACCCGAGCTGTGATTGGCCAATTCGGAGAAAGGAATGTAGTTCGGTTGTCAGCAGCCGTTCTTTTGGGGGAGTGTTGCGTGACATCCACAAAAAATGGCTGCGAGGGAGACTACGTCGGTGGACCTACATTTTCTGCCTTTAAAAGCACACACAACCCACAATTCCTCTATTTGCTCCAACAAAGGGCTAACGCTCGAAACGTCAGCTTTTGTAATTGTTACGGTGGCCAATTTACCATTTCAACTTTGTTGATATATCCAAATTTTTCAGTGAAGGGTAATCAAGTGCTTGAGTGGTTGAAAATCAAAGTGCTAGGATTTTTCTAACAACTACTGCAGTTAGATTGCAATACACAAATTTACATATGATGCA